GAAGATGTAAAAAAAAAAAAGAAAAGCTCGCAGGAACGGCCGGGCAGAAATAGCGTTGGTTAATTTTGCACCGGTGCTATAAACGTTCATCATACAGCCTCCGCGTCTGTTCATCGTCTGTCCCTCCTTCTCCTCCCTGTTTCTCTTTCTTTTTCTTCTGTTCCGTTTGCCTTCCAGTGTTGCTTCGTACACAACGGAACAAGCCAAGTTGCTAGTTTACGACTACTTTTCCTTCTTTTTCTTCGTCGGTGTTTCTCCTGGAGCAGTTTTTCTTCATTTCGGCGGAGGAGTTTGGTAAATCGGTGCGCAACGAAAGAAGGGATTTCCCGCTGCGCAGTGGGTTGTAGTTACGAAATTTATGCGTTACGATTACTGGAAGAGAATGTTTGTAGTTTTGTTCGAGAATTGGTTTGTAGCTTTGGGAGAAATTTTGTTGAACGTCGACAGATAAGTTTGAGGTAAATTTGATTATGAAATTTACGCGTTAATGGAGGAGATTTTGTTGTGTTTCTTCTTAACGTAAATGAAAATTAATTAGTGTACAATGATGGACACGATGGAAGTTTCGAAGGCACGTAGTATGAGAGAAGACATAATTTTATGGAACAGGAGCAATATATTAATATGTAGATGACTATTATTGATGGTAATTGAAAATTTCTAACACGAAAGATAATTTTCGACTTTCTTCCATTTCTAATTAGATAATTTCGTCCATTTCTAGCTATTGGGGGAAAGTTATTAATGAATTATGTTACATCATTACGAAACATAAAATTAACACGTTGACTGCCACGCGCATGATATACACGTTTCGTTTACAAGGCAGAACATTTAATTTCTACGAGATATTACGTTAATCATAATCCAATTGTTTGAAATTCCTTGTTAATTCCTTGTTCATCTCGTTTTAATTGTTCTAAAATATTTATACAAACAGGGACGACTAGTCAGCGTGTTAAAGAATAAAAATTAATTGTGTATCGTGCGCACGAAACGAAATGAATTCACATCGCGTGCAAAGTCGATTTTTATCTATGTCATGAACTATTGATCGATCGAATACAGACAAGAATTCTAATTACTTTCCTTTCCTCGCTGCTCGCTTCGTCCCTCTGTTTCATTCTCAAATATTTGCCAAGCTGGGGCTCGCGCTACCAAACGTTGCTTCGAAACCAACCGCATGATCAACAATCCCTCGAATAGCTAAAATCATCGGATAACAGTATCGATACCACCTCCCCCGGAAGTGGCGGATGTTTGACGATGGCGCGGACGCATTTAGAGAGGCGAGATTACGCTCTACCGATCTGATCGCACGGTCGTCGGCTGTAACGAATTCGTCTCCGTTCATTTATTTACAGCGGTTTCGGCTTGATTGTTTTCGTTCCCCTGTTTTTCTCTTTCACTTTCCTTTCTCTTCTCGCCATCTCGTCGCGGCAACGAAGGGGACAGCCCGAAGGAAAAACAAATGAGGCAGCAAATCAAAGGGGTTCTTTTTCTCATCTCTCTTCCTCTCGACAATGCCTTCTTTTTCCTTTGGCTGCTTCTTTGAACTGCTTTGTGAAGCACCACGTCGTTCATCTTCCTCTCCTTCGTTTTTTCTTTTTTCTCACCTCTTCTCTCTTCGTTTCAGACGTGCCCAGCGAGCAATCTGTTTTCGTCATGCTGAACGGCGAGGAGAGCGAGCTGAGATTCCTGAACATCGCGAACCCGATGGTGAGCAACAACTTGTCTATTGTGATTGGCTCCCTATTAGCTGGAGAGTATACTTTTTCGAACGGGAGAGCGAGCCGATGGTGTTGTATTCGATTACTACTCGCCGTTTTGATTTCCTGCGAGACGACGCTGATTTGTGAATGCTTGACCTTGATGAGAAGAGAAAAGTGGATTGTTGGCAGAATTTATCGATAGTACGTCAGTGGAGCATCTTGATGCGATGTTGATTTGTATTAGAAAGGCTCTTTGTGAGTGCTCGAGAAAATGATGAAAAAGGACAGTATATTGGTAGAAGTTGTGTTAACAGAGACTCTCGAATGATTTGTATGCTTGAAGTTTGTGTCATAAAGGGATGAAAGACTCGTTATAAAGTGTTGGAATACATAATCAACGCTAGAACTATCGACAACTACCACTTGTAACTACTTCAGCAAAATTTATCCGAATCCGAGAATTTTCATTCATTCTGAACTTTCGATTTTCAATTTGTTCGAAATTCCTGACATAAGTCACGAACAATTGAGACTTCGGATCGCAGTATTGCAAAAATTATTTATTTTCACCATCCTAGACAGTTCTAATGTTGATAGTCTAGTCGTTGTTCGATTCCAATTGCATTAACACGTTTGTGTTTTAAATAGCCCTTAGAGTTAGAAACGGACACGGTGTCGATCATCTTCTTTTAAGCCTGTTTATACTTCTGCTTTTCGAAACAGACGGAACTGGAGGTGATACACCCGGATGCCTTCGTCATCATGTACTCCGTGATCGATAAGGCGTCCTTTCAGAGAGCAGAAGAGTATCTAGAACGTCTGCACGACCAGGATTTCCTTCGAGGGAAATCGGCTATACTAGTCGGGAATAAAGTGGATCTGGTTCGATCCAGGGTGGTTTCTTCTCAAGGTTGGTATATATATATATATATATATATATATTGGTATATATATATATATACAAAGTTCAAATACAAGAGCTCGCATTACGTGTGTCTCAATTCAGTAAAACAATATTTCAATAAAGAAGTTGTCAAAATATTTTATGTACCGATATGATGTGCGAATTATAAGAGGTTCGCAAGTAGTAGTGGTCTGTGTATGGTCAGATCATAAATCGTATTCGTGGTAGTATAACCGAGGCAGTTATTGCCGTTAATTCCGTTGTTATTGCTGTTATATTACATTGGCTGTTAATCCCGTTGTTTTTCCACGAAGGATATACGTATTAATATACTTTATTGCCAGAGTCAATCAAAAACAAATTACAAGGCTTGGAAAACTTTCATAAAATTTCCCATCGAATTTCTCGTTCGACGCCAATGCAAATTAATACTGTTTGCCCTTGCTTTCCTACTGCGTTTGTACGCAATTGCTGATGTATCCGATATTCCAAAAACTTGTTTCAGAGGGAGATAAAGTTTATCCTCAGTTTCATATATATAAACATTTCCACATCCACCATGTTGAACAAAATACATGTAAAAGAATATAGTATTATAGATTACATATTTCTTATAATGAGTGGAATAAATAATATAATAGAATAATTTCACAAATTTCTCGTAAATTAACACATCAACGAGATCATCAACAATCATACAAAACAAAAAGCTAATTTCACAATTATTGCTAACAATTTTTTGTCTTATAAAGGACACGCTTACAAAAATTCCAAAAATCTGCTCTAATAAAAGAAATATATCTAAAGTTTTTATCATAACAAAAAATATCTTACTCTTCACGATCAAAAGGAGAATTCCATCAACAAAAGCTAATTTCACGAATATTTCTCTCTTATAAACTTAGATATTCGAAAAATTTCTTGCACCTTTGTATTTACAAATCTGTCGATGAAATTATATATCTTCGACAACTTCGTTACGAAAAATTTCTAATCGAAGAATCTAGAAACAAAAAAAAATATATTTTTCTCAAAACTGCATCAACGAAAGTTATATACTTCTCTTTCACACGCGCTGCATCCTCGTATCTTTCAAATCCGTATAATAGAATTGCATGGCAGCTTCGTTTCGATGAATTTCTAATCCAGAAATTGAAAAAAAAAGAAGAAGAAAGGAGCGAAACACCAATCGAAACACGAGCCTGCTGCGCCAACCTTTCCTCACCGGGCAAATCAACCGGAAGATATTCCGTTCCTGACAAACAAAAGGAAAGTTCCTCGGATCCCCCTTTTTCCCTATTCTTACCCGGGATAGAGAATCTCGCGCCGGCTATTTTCCACCATCCTACACGCGTCCTTGGCGACCTGCTGGCTTTAAATATAATAATTTCCCTTCTCTTTTTCTCTAATCCGGCGCGTGCTAATCCCGCAGATGGCAAGTGCATGGCGTGCACCTATCGGGTGAAGTTCATCGAGGTCTCGGTCGGGATCAACCACAACGTGGACCACTTGCTGGTCGGCATTCTCAATCAGATTCGGCTGAAGAAGGCTGGCAACACGGAGAACCGAACTGGGAACGGTGCTAGCGAGGGCAGCGGCCACTGGTACAAGTCGAGAGGTGTGGTACGCGCCAGCATGAAGGCCAGACAGATGTTGACCTGGCTGTTCGGTAAAGAGGACAGCAAGTTTAAGAACTGCGAGAATCTCCACGTGTTGTAAATTAGGCGAGCGGCTGGACTTTCTACTCCATCCCGCGGCCGTACCTGATGGTAGATTGTAAGGGCGGTGCTGTTCGGCGCGGTCTCGTCCACCCCCTGCGTGACACGATCACTTGGCATGACACGAGCATGATTTGCTTGCTGCTCGACCGAGCAACCGTGAGCTCACCGGGTAAAGTTGAAATTTCAAAGACGCCTTCTGTCTGTCAGTTGAATCAGTCTGAGAAGTTAATTGGTTTGTGGCAGGTGTATATTTGAAATTTCTTTTAACAAGATACAGGGTATTATAATTTGTCGATCTTCAACATGATACGAGAGTAATAATCAAGAGTAAAATAAATAATTTGTTTCAAAATTCATGAAATTAATCTATATTGTGAATTAGTGACTTTAACAAGAAGGTGTAAAATGCTATAGTTTCTGAATCTTTTGGTAGTGATTTGTTTTAAAATTCATGAAATTAGTCGCTTTATATCTTGAAATTGGTAACTTCGATAGAATGATTTAAAGTGGCTATAACTTGTGGATCTTTTTGTAGCATTCAGTTTGGTATAAAAAATTGTTAAATAAAAAGCAGTGTCTATAATCATATCTATTTATTTTACAAATATTCGATATTACAATCTGTAAACCTTTTTTACAGCAGTCCTTAATCAATTCATATGATATAACATCTTGGATGAGCCACTTTCTCAATGGCTAATCTTTAGCCATGTTTTCTCCATAAAATAAAATTGTCTTTGCAACTTCTCTTTATAATTGGTCATTATCCTTGCAAGTTTGAAGACTCCTGTCTGGGACCATGGAATATCGAATGTCAGTACTGTTCATTTGCTTGCTTGTGCATGTCAGAGATTTCACTCTTGCTCGGTTAAGCAGTGGGAATTGGAAACCACGGATGCCCAGTACAACTGGAATTTCGGGTAAGATTGTATTTCACTCGGTTGTGATTTGGGATGGCCAATTGAGTATCACTCGAAGCGATTTCGTTTCTTTCGCTACCGATTTTGGAACTGTTTTTAGGATTCTCTTCTTTCCTGTGAAATTCTCTTACGTATCTTCTTTCTTTTACATTTTTTCAATCTTTCTTCCTTCTTAAGGGGGAGATAATCGAGCGAAATTGAATTATATTTCACAATTCGAAGAGATTCGAGATTTCTCGAATTCAATCTTTCAGTTCTTAATTCTTTTTAAATTTAAATTGATACTTTTAACTCTGAAAATTTCTTTCCAGCAAGACACAGAGAAAGACAACCAAATGAAGTGTTGGATATAAAATGTATTTTACACGTTACGTTTTATCTAGGGCATATGAAGCATCTTCTACGTGTATAATTTTAAATTTGAATAAATTTGGCACACTTCCTTCTATCATCAATTAAAGTCTTCGTTACGTTTTTCATTTCATTCTTCTCGTTTATAACGTACACAGTGCTGGAATATTTGCATTGCAGACATCTCTGGAAAATAATTTATTAATTATTAATGACAACGTTTCAAATATTTTAACGAATACTACGGAATATAGTGCATTTTGAAGCAAACGTGAAAGAGTAGCCTTATTCATAATGGACGACACGTGTTGATCTTACAACACAAGTCTTATTTAACACAAAATGTCCATAAACGTTCCTAAAACATTTACCATTATTTCCAGATTTTTATTTTGACGATGAAACGTCATCGATCATACATTTTATCTTTCATTGTACAATAATTGAACGTGTTATATATTGTTATTTAATACTTCTGCGACGTAAATGTTTCTGAACATTCCGATTTTTGCGCATGTATGGAAAATTGAAAGGTTGAAGAATGTATGAAACACAATGTGCAAAAAACGTACAAAATATCCAAGATTCTTTCTTTCGTTATATTTATAAAATTTGCACAAATATCCGCAGTCTGAACGTGTTAGTCTCTGACTAATAATAATTCAACGCGTTAATCAACAATGCGCACGTACATTTTGAACAAGTAGAATCTTCTCTCATTCTGAAAACGATTAAAATTTATATATATCGAAATTTTTTTTTTTAACGTGAAAAAAAAGGAAGATCGACAAAGACCACGAATTCTCGATCGTGTTATTTCATTGATTTTTCGAAGTTAAAGGATTGACAATAGTAAATCACGGGACGAAATTGGCCATTCCAACAGCGAGACAAGGTCTTCTGGGTGAAATTGGGGATTGGCGATCAAAGTGCCAATTAAAACGAACACGACCACTGTTTCTTTTCTTTCAACTGTTTATTTTTAATTAATGTTAGCTCTTAAGAACTTCCATCGAGAATCCGCTCGATACCGCTGTAATACTGATAATCATAAGTTCGTTAAGTCGCTATTATCGTCTATGTTGGTTGGTTGGCATACGGAAGTAAATAAAAGATAAATCGTGGTGGTGGTTCTGAGGAAAAATTTACTGAACACGTGGTTTGATTGTTCAGGTCTTTCTACGAAAGCACACGTTCGAATTTTTCAATGCTTTCAAGATTGTTGGTCGAGAAAAGATTCAATCGTAATGTTTCACGACGAATTTTTTATGTAGATGTTTTGTAATTTATTGATAACGAGTTTCATGCAATTTGAATGATTTCCAATTTCCTTCATTTCAATGTATCATTGGTACGTATATAATAGACAGACTATGGATGTTCATGGGAAATTTAAAAGTATAGAAATGTATAGAATATTTGAAAACTAAGCTGAAACTTTCAGTTTTAAGCTCTACTACTTCTTCACTTGCATTTTCAAAGGCAAAAAAAAAAAAATTGCATAGATGTCCTCGATACGATGAAAAATAATCTGCGACACAACAAATTTTGGAACTTCGAACGAACAGTATGAAAATACTTCCATCTCTCTCATTTGACTTTCAAGCTCTTTCCCGGCATGAAAATTTATTTCCACTGACGATTTAAGTTAATCAAAAGGACTACTGGCAGCGACCAGACTGCCAGAGATTAAAGCGAGCAGCGAAGAAGAGAAAAAACTCGAACATCTTCGCACAGTTAATCGAAATGACAAAGAAGGGAGCTGTATGGTAAAAAAAATAAAGCAGTTCGAATCGATTCTAGGACCGGTACGAAAAAAAGAATTTCGAAAAAAGAAAAAGAGAAAAAAATCGGACCATGGCATGAATTAGCGGCCAATAATGTTACGTCGTTGACTGTATAATAAGACCAATCTAATCTTTTTAATCCTAGGCGTACATACGATAAGTTTAACCATAAACAGATTAATGTGTCTACCTGTGAGAGAGAGAGAGAGAGAGAGATAGGAGAAAAGAAAGAATGAGGGAACAAAATGAAGGAACAAACGTGGACGAAATATATTGAAGACGAAGAGCAGCGAGATACGTGTGTTGTATTATTATAAATATACATACATACATGCATATACATATACATATATAATAAATATATATATATATATTCTTAATGTACGATAAGCATAAGTCTACGTTAGTTTATATTGTAAATGTATCGTTAAATGATTGACGTGTTGCTGTATTGCGTGTTTTCCCTCAAAGAACGGGTACTGTGAAGAATATTCCCTTTTCGGGGGTGGGAGAGGGGGGAGGGGGGCATTTTCAGAGCAAATACGAAAAGATAAAGAAAAACATGTGTACACGTATACACACACACACATACACATACGTACATTATTGTTCATTGTCTATTTTCTGCGATCTCTATGCCTATGTATATCCGAATTATGTATAAATATATAAATATATATACTCTTACAGGTATATACACGTTGTTGGAGAAAAGATGGTTTGAGGATAATTATGGTTCAATTAATTATACAATAAATCTTATACAACCACAGAGTAAGAAATTGTCACCTCCTTTTGATAATACGATAATGTCACTTTTTGTTTAAGTTTGATTGATTAATTCGATGATTTCTCTGAGTTACAGTAAGAAATTACTGTTTTCGTTACGACAGTACACGCTTTGCTTTTATTCACGTACGATCTTTCATTTATTCGTGCTGTTACTTTTGTAAAATGTTAGCGTAGTAAACTGACCGAATGTTTTTACATAGCTTTTACATAGTTTTTACTCTCTACAATTTTTCATTATTTTATCCTTCGTTGCGACACGCTTTCCTCCAAGGTGAAAGAAGAATGTTAGTCCGATAATTTTCTTAATTCTTATTAGCAGATCGTAGAACGTTTCCTCGAAAGTTGTAAATTTCGAACCATCTTGCTCAAACATCGTGTATATACACACATTTAAAACGAAGCAGTGTTGTAACAAGTATAGTTCGAGCGGTATATCCGTCTCAGGGGCCAAACAACAGGGCTGTAGAATAAAGAAACAAACGGAAGAACCACTATAATTAATACGTTAGTTAAATGAAATAAAAATGCCGAGTGAGAACGATCGCAAAGTATTCCGCTTGGGAAAGAAAACAATGTACAGAAGGATATATAAAATCGGAGAAAGAAAATAAAGAGAAAAAGCAAATAATTCACTGGAAGTGGATAAATCACGGAGAGCAGTATTATATTTTACATGTATTCACAAATACTGTGAATCGGTGTTTGCAAAACGAGATGTCGGATGGAAAAATAATTTTACTGCTAATATATATATACATATTGAGATTCTGTCAGATGGATTGGGATTTCGAAGATAAGATTTCGGCTTTGACCGGAAGTAGAAGCTTTCCCGAGTCGATGGAAATTCTGACATTTCGGCAAAAATCTTCGTAGAAATTACGAGTGTAGGAAGTATTCGTGCATACTCGATGAAAAATTGATAAAATCGGTACTTTAAATTCTTTTAACTTTGTGAGAGTAAGGAAAATCGTAGAAATCAAGAAACAATCCATCAGGGTCCATTTTAAAGTATAAATCCTCTGCTTTCAAAATGCTTTCACAATGCTTGTCTGTCCCAAAGATAGTTCTACACTATTTTGAAAGATAGCTTTCCTGTCGAAAATTTTGCAAATTCGAACGTCTCTATAGACATGAAAAAAGATTTCTTCCGTAACTAAATCCATCGTGTAGTTGAAGATTGAAGTCTTCCCTTTAAAACTTGTACGATTATTTTTTTTTTTTTTTTTTACAAAGTCTAAAATATTTTTTATCGAACGTACGAGTACTCTCTCTGCATCTAGCGTGAACAAATTTTTATTTTAATACAGAAAATTCAGGAATTCCTTTCTGTAAGCTCGAACGAATGAAATTTAAACGATTGCTGAATGCAAGATCGTGCTGACCAATTTCGAACGAGTTCGAAAGCGTCCGTGTAGAAATTATTTTGCTAGCTCGAACTACCGAATCGAAGACAATACTAAATCGTGAACTCTGTCGAACCGTAAAACAATATAGATAGCGATAGAACGGAAATTCTTGCAGCTCGAAAAAAATCCAATGATCAAAATAACATTAAAAAATAAGTCAAATCAAAATGATAAGCACCATTAACGAGTCAAACGAGTTGTTGGGAAAAGAAATATAATAATCGCGATAAAACGTTAAAAATTTGAACTATATAATTCCTCGTTAAAGAAAGACGATCTCGTAACGACGCGATCCTTGACTCACAGATCGCGAGACTATCTTCTTACAGCACTGTTCACGATCGAACAAAAAGCGACAAAGAATAAAAAAATAAAAAAATAAAAAAATAATAAAAAAGAAATTACAAGAAATCGTGTAACTGTAAGCGAGAATTGTTCCTTAGTCATATATGATATGAATTATGTTCGGTGAAGCGAAAATAGCGAATTAACGACGGGTTGTCATCGACTATTCGATTCGTTCTATAGTTCGAATTTACCAAATTGTGGAACGAGTATAAAGTATACATACATTTATATAAATATATAAATATATATATTTATCCGTTTGCCATCGTTTTGCGTCGTCGTTGCTGATGTTGTTAAATACAATCAAAGAAAAAAGAAGAAGAAAAAAACAGAAGAAAAAATCGAGAGAAAAGAATGGTAAATAAAAATGGTGGAGTTCTGTGAAATTTGAACGAGGACTTCTGCGAAACGAAAGAGCGAGAGGTTTAAAACAAAAGAAAAAGGGAATTCTTATCAAGTGCCTTTGTGTATTTTTGTAATTTAAGCTAAACTCGATGTAAGTCTTAATCCAACAAAATACAACAGTGTAACCATCAAATGTATATCGATGCTGGAAACGCATGCTCTTTTTTCTTTATCGTTCCTTTCAAAGATTAGCGACCAATTCTCATCTTATTTTCTTCTCGACATCGAAAGAATATCGGAGCTCGCGAAGAAAATTTCAAAGCCTTCGAGACGTTTCTAATCGCTTCAAAATTGTACACGATTTATTTATATTTAACGACGAATTCGAATCTCTTGCTCGGAGCAACGATGAACTTGTTCGATGTCGCTGAAACTCTCGAAAGTTTTGCAACATCTTGAACATTGAAACATCACGGCGCCAGGTTGATGTGGAAATCGTAAAAGTGTAAGTATTTAATAAAATCCAGAAGGTTCAAGTCATCGAGTATAGAATAATCGTCGCTAGATTGCGAATTTCGGAGAGGAAATTTGGAGGAGGTGAAACGCTCGGTAAATGTAAAAAATATGTCAAGCATCGTGCTTCTTGTAATATTTAACGAGTAAAATAAAAAGGAATTTCTACTCAGTCTTCAGTGTTTAAATTGTTCTCACAGAAACGTGAAATTGTACAAACATTCGCAGTCTATTCGTCGCATTATCGAACACTGTGGCACGATTCTTAAGATTTCGAGACATCCAAGACCACGATTTTCAAGAATTTTACGAATGTTTCTCAAGAATTATATTCAAGGTAATCCGAATTGATCGCTGTGCGGATTCGAACGTGAGTTGAACTGTCTCAAATTTTATTACTATTACTGACCTAACAACCGTAACAACATCGCGAGTGAGCACGATAACCAAAATAATCGAATAACAATTGTATAAAATGAGGAAATAAAACAAGACGAGGGAAATCAAATTTCCTTGCTTGACGGCGATGATTTCGAAGATATCCACTTCCGGTTTACGCCCGCTTGATGTCTATCCTATGCGTTATCAAGGTGAACTTATCGGTGTTACTTAAAGTAAGTAAAAGAAAAAAAAAAAAAA